CTTCCAGGCCAAGTGAGGCAGGAAGCACAAGACACAACCTAATCGTGTTTTTAAATCTTAATCATTTTTTTTGGCCGGGCACAGTGGCTCACACCAGTAATCCCAGCACTTTGGGAAGCTGAGGCAGGCAGATCACCTGAGGTCAGGAATTTGAGACCACCCTAACCAACATGGTAAAACCCCGTCTCTACTAAAAATACAAAAAATAGCCAGGCGTGGTGGCACGTGCCTGTAATCCCAGCTACTCAGGAGGCTGAGGCAGGAGAATCGCTTGAACCCAGGAGGCAGAGGCTGCAGTGATCAGAGATAGCACCACGACACTCCAGCCTGGGCAACAGAGCAAGACTCCATCTCAAAAAAAAAAAAAAAATCTTAATTTTTTTATTAACTTAATGTCATCTAGTAACGTTGGCTGTGAGGAGCCAAGGGACATGTGGCCTTGACCTCATATTGACTTTTGATGTCATCTCCAAAAAGACTGCATGAACTCATAGGAAGGCATTCATAATAGGACAATTTTACACTTATGTACCCATCCACAGATCATGCTGCCTCTAGCTCATTCTAAGATAATATGTTTATTAACTTCTATAGTCTTGTTTACAGCACAGTGTCATTGCAATGAACAGTAATTGTGTGTGTGTGTTCTAGCTTTTATTCTGTTCAATATAACACTGAAAATATTCCAAGGAGACCAGTGGTGACTTATGCCTGTAATCCCAGCACTTTGGGAGGCCAAGCCTGGAGTACCACTCGAGACCAGGAGTTCGAGACCAGCCCGGGCAACATAAGGAGACCCTGTCTCCACAAAATATTTAAAAAACAAAAATTAGCCAGGCTTGGTGGGGCCTGCCTATAGTTCCCAGCTACTCAGGAGGCTGAGGTGGGAAGATCACTTGAGCCTGGGAGGTCAAGCTTGCAGTGAGCCGTGATGGAACCACTACACTCCAGCTTGGGTGACAGAATGAGACACTATCTCTGAAAAAAAAAAGAAAAAAAAAAATATTTCATAAATTTAGGTAACTCCTATTTTGGCATCTCTTCACCTCTATGTCTTGAAATGCCAGATGCCTCACTGAATGGGCACACCTGTGTCTCTCCCAGCTTCTGTGTGGTCCTGGGCCCTGTACCTGTTTAGTGTCCATATTCTTGGGGATAGATCCGTATTGCACTTGCTTCCTGAGGGCACACAGCTCTCTGGAAAGCTGGAAAAGGAAGACAGTCCTCTTAGGTACTAGCGCTAACAAGGAACGATGATTATGCAACCAGCTTACAAAATTTTCCTTTTGCATCTCTAGACGACTCAGCCCGTCCCTGGTTGCATAGTGTTCAGTGGATGACTTGGCATGAAGCATTATATCTACAAGAAAAACAAGTCAAAGGCTGAAGCCTCTGATGGCGAAATCACCACTCACTCAGTGGGAAGCCACAGGAAGTATGTACCTGGCTGTACCGGGGCCACAGGATTATGGGGCAACATCCCACATGCCAGAGCATAACGTAGAGTCTCATTAAGGACAGATATTTGGGAGAGCATGTTTATCAAAAACTCAGATGGGTGAATGGCCATCACAAATGAGAGAAAGAACTGTTACCCAACCCGTGACTCAGGGGTTGAGTGTGTACCTCTGTTATGAAAACTGATTGTTAAAAAAAAATTGTTTGCACTCATCACAGATATCAACATTTGAGGGCATTGGCAGATTCCAACTTATGCCATAAATAACTATTCAATTACAATTGGAATGGCTTAAACAAATTTTCTGTGATGAAAGCTGGCCAATTCCTCAAAATAAAAGTCCAGCCTGGAGCACAAATGAGCCTAAACTCTTGGTCCTTGGAATAATGAGTTTTCTCTTCTGCAAAGTTTGGTCTCTAACCAAAGGAAGTATTTACCTGTACGTTTAGAATTCAGATCAAAAGGAGGAGGATAAATAGCCAAGAATGCTTTAGTTACACTTGACAACGACATAACTCAATCTTGTTTAAGAATGAAAGGGAACTTATCACTTCTTGTAACTGAAGCACCCAAGTTTACTGCTGACTTCAGGCACAGCTGGATCCAGGTGGCAAGAAGGGTTATCAGGAGTGTGTCATTCTCTATTTCTTGGATCTCCCTTCCTCTCTATTGCCATTACTTTCAGGCAGGCTGTCACCATGTGAATGGCAAAGCAATCATCTGTAGCTTCAGGCCTAGAGGATCCCCACAGCTGGTGAGTCCAAAAGAAACCAAAGACACACACACACAGACACACACACACACACACACACACACACACACACACACACACACACACACACACACAGACACACACACACACACACACACACACCTTTTTTCCAACAGCTCTCACAAAAGCCCCAAACAGAATCCCTCTGGCTATGCTTGGAACACATACCCAGCCAGAACCCATTCTCTTTTTGGCCATTTTGTGCACATGCAGTTGATCATCATGTCCACGCATGCTGCCGTGAGGATTCTTTTCAAGTCTCTTTAGGCATCCACATAAGGGCACTGTGGAGTATTGAGATGGCCACTTCTTTGAATACTATAATAGATGCAAAGTTGGCTTGCATTTAGGTGCCATGGTACAGTATAAGAAAAAAATACGCCTTTGTAAATCGCACTTACGCGGGAGGAGGAGGACACTCCCTTCCTAAGGGAAGAGCAGGCACCCCTCGCCCTCCCAGCTCAAGCTTCCTCTGGGACCTGCACATGTAGAAATTGGCAGGCCCCATTAATATTGGTATTTCCCTCTCATTCCTACTATTACTCTGCCAAGCTTGGGATGGCAGAGTTGGAGTCACGTCCATTCAAGAAGCCTAAAGATGCGATTTCTCTGCACTAATGAGAGGGACAGAAGAGGGAAAACCAAAGAACGGCTTGAGTGAGCTCTGAAGTCCCACCTGTCACTCGACTAAATGCCAGCATCATCTGGTCTCATTTAGTGGGTGGAGCAAATTCTTGCCCCAGTATTCCCTCCTGAACCTGCAAGGTTGGTGGGAGAGGGAGACCCTCCCCAAAGGAGGAGTCCTGTTGTGTTGAGAGTGATTTCAGAGACCTCAGCAAGGAAAGGCAAATCAAAATAACCATCACATTCCGCCTCCTTCTTCCTTTAGAGAGGAATGTTCCCCGGCACTGGTGCCGCAGTTTGGTAAATTGCATGCCGTAGATTTCAGGCCTTGAGAAAATCTTCACACTAGCTAATATGACCAGCATTAACAGAATTTCTTGGAGCCTATAATAACAAAAAAAGCTCATTGACAACTTCCCACTTTTATTCCTGGCCCCGCTTTTCTCTTAGCCTTAAATTTTTTTTAATAATAATTTTTTTTTTTTTTTTGAGACGGAGTTTCACTCATGTTACCCAGGCTGGAGTGCAATGGCGTGATCTCGGCTCACCACAACCTCCGCCTCCTGGGTTCAGGCAATTCTCCTGCCTCAGCCTCCTGAGTAGCTGGGATTACAGGCACGCACCACCATGCCCAGCTACTCAGGAGGCTGAGGCAGGAGAATTGCCTGAACCCAGCCTCCTGAGTAGCTGGGATTACAGGCACACGCCACCATGCCCAGCTAATTTTTTGTATTTTTAGTAGAGACGGGGTTTCACCATGTTGACCAGGATGGTCTCGATCTCTTGACCTCGTGATCCACCCGCCTCGGCCTCCCAAAGTGCTGGGATTACAGGCTTGAGCCACCGCACCCGGCCAATAATAAATTTTTATTAAAAAAAAAGAGTGAAGCATTTCATAAGGTCTTGCCCAGTTTATTTTTTTTTAATCTGTAATAGAATAACGTTTCAGCATTAGAATATTCATTCAAACAAAATCTCCAGATCTTTACATCCTGAGTCTGCGAGGGCTGGACACATGTCCTTGCTAATTATCAACCTCCTGATCCAGCTCAAGGCATGGGATTAAAAACTGCTTTGGAATTTGAACTCCCTGACGTTTGTCTGAGTCGGCTACTCTGAACTCGCATCTACTATAAGGACCTGGGCATTTCCTTCTCCCATTTCCTCAGGACCTGGTCGGGAGTGTCCCGGGAAAGGGTGTCACGAACATACTTGCAATAAAAATAATCAAACAAATGGAGAGCATGCCTATTTCTGGAATTAGATTCCTTTGATAGTAAAGGAAGCAAATGGAAGAAAGGGCAGGGAGAAGTCAGGTAAGTCCAGTATTAGTATGTCCACATGCTTAGATTTCACTTCTGTGCGGGGGTCGGGGGTGCTCGTTGTCCCTAACAATGGCCCTTTTAGCTACGGACTACTGGGAGTGACTAACGTTTTTCTAGCCTGTCAGTGAGAACTACCACTATATATTGGTAGGTATTTCCGTACAAAATTCACTTGGAAAGGATATTGTTTCAAGTCTGGACAAAGCTCATATTGTCGTGTTCCAGCTCCAGTTATTTTAGGCAAGGAAGGGGAATTTCCACTGCTCCCTACAATCCGTTTGCAGCCTTTAGCTCTGAGTAACAACTTCCTTGTAATCTGTCACAGCCCAGGTTATTTAACAGCGAAAAAAAAATCCCCTGATATTAGGCATGAAATTCTTAGCCAAGGAAGCCAATTTAAGAATGCTTCGGTTAGCTCAGGCAGGAGTAAAGACGTGACCTCATCCAGTGCAGAGGATGCAGGCAGCTCGATTCTAAAAGGAAGAAATGAAGTGAGTCAATGCAAATTCCCAGATAGAACACAAAGCTAAGAGTCACTTAATGTCAATGCTGATGTTAATAGTAGCTCTCATTCATAGCATATTTACCATAGGCCAAGCACTAGCCCATCCAAACCCCTTATTGCCCTGGTCTTATTGGAAAGTTTATTATATGTGAGTTTCATTTTCAAGAGTCAATTAATGTATGTCACATAAATAATGGTACAGGCGCCAACAGATAAGGCAAAAATCCAAAGTAATATGCAAATGACAATTGGGAAACATTACCTGAACAACACCATTTCTATAAATAAATAAATACACTATCATAACAAAGAAAATAAATAAAATTACCATGTATTGACACTGAACTTTAGGTGCCAACCATCGTACTAAACATTTTATAAGCATTAACTCTAATCCTCACAAAAGCCCTAAGAATTGGGAAATATTGCTGTTCCCATTTTACAGACATGGAAACTGAGGCTTATATTGTAAGGTCACATGGCTAAAGTGGCAGAGCTGGGATTCGATCCCACTCTTGCTAGATGCCAGAACCCAGGCAGATGTTACTGTGGCGTTATTGCCACTTGTGTCAAGCATGGTGAGGGATTTCAGCAACGCTCAGCCTGGATGATGCCACACACTCCTCCAGGCAAAGGAAACGCCCACAGGCGACTGAAAAAGAAGCCACTTCCTGTCCCTGCAAAGAGAGAACATCACCATCCTTGAGTCAAGTTCCTCACCATCCCTGGGCTCAGCCTCTAAGCTAAACAATTTATCTTTGGAGTGACAGGTGATGACTTAGTCACCCCAGATCTGCCCTTCTCCATTTTCCTATAAACCAGCTGTGTTTCATGGGTGATTTAGAGCATAACCTCAGAACACATAGGCTTTTACAGGACAAGCAATAATTGGGCACTGCAGAGAAGCTGTCATGCCTCCCTCTCCCATTCCCCAACCCCTTGGCAGAGCTAACAGCTCCCAGCTGCTCTCATTCAGCAGACCAGAAGCCAATTCACCTGGGAGATTATCTGCTCACTCTTAAAGAGGCCAGCCCACGGCCAGTAACTGTTCCAGGGCATGAAAGGCCGGTCTTTTGCTTCAACAGAAGCTAATGCTGGGGTGCAGTATCTGCTCCCGATGCCAGCAATGTATATCCCCAAGGCATCAGGCTGAAGCTAGACTCCAGTTGACAAAAACCTCTGCTTTGCTTCTCCTACCTTGTCCTGCCTCCTTGGTTCCCATTTCCCTGGAAGCCTTCCCTCCCTAAACCACTGCCTCTAAACCCCCATCGCTAGGCTGCTTTCACACCCAAGACACCACCCGCCATGTGCCACCATGACAAGCACTGGAGATGTGTGTTAAGTAAATGGGATCTTTGAACTCCAGGAGCACATTCTAGTGAAGGAAACAGTTACACAAACCCAATAGACTAGGGTAAGAACTATAACAAAACATGCGTTCTTTTTCATCTTTCTCTTATTTTAGTACTTCTGTGTACCCAGGCCTATGATAAACATTATTCAGGCATTGTTCCATTTGATTCTGAAAACAAATCCATGAAGGAGGCACTGCAATTAACTCTTTTCATGGACCCAAAAAACCCCCAGGTGCTCAAAAAGGTTAATTAGCCATTAAGTATAGAGACGGTACTTGAACCCATTTCTCTTTAAATTTCCTTGCTCTTTTACGGGGCATCTTTCCCATGTCTTGAGATCAGCTGTCAGCAAACCATGCTCCCTAGGCACTGCCTGTTTGTGCGAATAAAGTTTTACCAAAACACAGTGAGGCCAGCGCGGTGGCTCATGCCTGTAATCCCAGCACTTTGGGAGGCTGAGGCGGGCGGATCATGAGGTCAGGAGTTCGAGACCAGCCTCACCAACATGGTGAATCCCCATCTCTACTAAAAATACAAAAAATTAGCTGGGCGTGGTGGCACGCGTCTGTAATCCCAGCTACTCAGAAGACTGAGGCAGAAGAATCTCTTGAACCCGGCAGGCAGAGGTTGCAGTGAGCTGAGAACACGCCACTGCACTCCAGCCTGGGCAACAAGAGCAAAACTCTGTCTTAAAACACACACGGACACACACACACACACACACACACACACACACACACACACCCCTAGCCACACCCCCACACCCATTATTTACCTATGTCTATGACTGCATTCGGTCTATGAAGTCAGAGGTGAATGGCTGACACAGAGCCTGGAGAGCCTGCAAAGCTGAAAATATTGACTACCACTCCCTTTTTATGGCTACAGTGGTAGCCAGCCCGATGAGCTTCTGTTCTCCTTCAGCCTCAGCAAAAGAAAAACTGGGAATTTTCTTCCCTCTAAATCAAGGTTCTCCATTCAACCTCCCCCTACAGTAGAGACTCTGCTCCCTCACCCTGGGTCTGGGAGAATCTTGCTCATTCTACTGAGCTCCCATGCAGCACTCGCTGGAGGACAAATTCACGATATCTGATTGGCCCGTATTCCTCTTGCTGTTTCACCTACTGACACTTTAAAAGGAATTCTATCATTTCCTCGACGGATTATTCCTGTTGAGAGCCACAACAAGGAAGCTTCCTCTTGAGATTTCAGTCTGGAATCCTCATTGTTCAAATATATGCCATTACCTTTCAAATCATCTCCAAAGAAGTTCCTCTTCTAGACTTTTATTTATGGAATTTCAATGCTTGGAAATGGTGATCACCTCCTCCCAGGGTTTTCTGCCACATGGCTTTCATAGTCTGAGCTCTTTTCATCTTTTCCCACAAGTTAGTCACTTCATAATTATGTTTTACTGCCCAGTCCTTGAACTGTGTCCAATCTGTATGCATACTGCGGTGATTACAATACAATGTGTACCAATAGCCTGACTGAGAGGAAATATACTCAGACCATCCAGGACCAAATGACCAACTGACAAGAGCCAACAGGCTTCTCTTTCTGAAAGCTCCTTCCGGTCACCTGAATTTTCTGGATGTGTTATTCATAGCTTGAACTAGCTATGTTTATTTGGTACCATAAGTCTCTGATTTTTAAATGTGCGAACAACCTTTCTGCAAAGCAATTTTATAATGTACGCTAAGGATGTTTTAAAGTTTTATCCTTTGACTCAATGATTCTACCTCTAGAATGAACTGATTAGCCTGAGAACCCGAGGAAATAATCAGAGATGTCATAAACCAATGTAAATATGAGGATGTTCATCACAGCATTATTTTAAATAAAGGAAGAAAAATCCATTTTTATATAAAGAAATGGCTAAAAATAATTTTCCTTCTGAAGCAATATTCTATAGGCATAAAAATTATGTGTTTGAAGAGTTTTTGATAATATTGTAAAATATTCATGAAGCAATGTTAAGTTAAAAAAACTATATATGGAATATCACATTTTAAAACCCTTTTGTCTGTGTGTGTGTGTATATATTACATACATATATTGCATAAATGTATAGTAAATAGATTGATTAACTTTTAATTGTTTTCTTCATTACTATGTGTCCAAAGCGTAGCCAAGATTTCTTTTTTTTTTTTTGATACGGAGTCTTGCTGTCACCAGGCTGGAGTGCCATGGTGCAATCTCGACTCACTGCAACCTCCGCCTCCTGAATTCAAGCGATTCTTCTGCCTCAGCCTCCCAAGTAGCTGGGACCACAGGCATGTGCCCACATGCCAGGCTCATTTTTGTATTTTTAGTAGAGACGGGGTTTCACCATGTTGGCCAGGATGGTCTCGATCTCTTGACCTCGTGATCCACGTGCCTCAGCCTCCCGAAGTGCTGGGATTACAGGCATGAGCCACCATGCCTGACCAAGATTTCTTAAGCTTCTTATCCATGGTACTATTGACATTCGGGGCTGGATAATTCTTTGTCATGAGGGCTGTTCTATGCGTTGCAGGATGTTAACAGCATCCTGAACTCTACCTATGTCAAGAGCACCCGGCCCTAGATGTGACAACCAAAATGTTTCCAAATATTGCTAAATCCGCCCTAGGGACAAAATTTCCCCTTTGAAAACCACTGGCCTAGAACATACAATAGCGGATCAATGATACTGTTGAATAATTCAGTGAATTAGAAAACATACATGAAAGTTCCAGCAGTTATTTCTTGTTAATGTGATTACTTTCTTTTTATTACTTCACTGTATTTTTCCAAATTTGCCACCATTAATAATTCCTTACAAGTCCCATTAATAATTCCTTACCTGTAATTCCAAAATCCACAAAGCTCCTTTGACAGCAAAATATAAATCCTTCTGAGTTTACATGAAGTCTTTAATGTTCTCAGGTGGTGTAACTATCTATACATCTTTCTGAAGAACAAGTATTAATGTATTATTTGACATTCAGTGTAAACAAAATGCATCTAAAAGCTCAAGAAATTTGGCTCACAAAATGCATCTGGCCCCTGGGTTGGGTACATAGGATTGTGGGCCTGTATTATTTTTATAATCAGGATGATACAAAGGTGAAAATTATAATGACATTCCCCTACTCAACAGAAGGCAATCGATTAAGAAGGTATGTATACAGTAAATATCCACCCGGAAGATTATCTCCAAAAAGTAAATTATGGGAAAAGGACAGGCTTGGTGGCTCACGCCTGTAATCCTAGCACTCTGGGAGGCCAAGATGGGCAGGTTACTTGAGGTCAGGAGTTTAAGACCAGCTTGGTCAACATGGTGAAACCATATCTCTACAAAAATAAAAAAATTAGCTGGGCATGGTGGTTTCCACCTATAATCCCAGCTGCTGGGGAGGCTGAGGCAGAAGAATCGCTTGAACCCTGCAGGCAGAGGTTGCAGGGCACTGCACTCCAGCCTGGGCGACAGAGCAAGACTCCATCTCAAAAAAAAAGATTGTGGGGAAAAAAATAAGTTACGGACAAGTTTAGTCATCTTATTTTATAGGAATAAGAATGAGGAAACAGATGCTCGGAGAAGTTCAAGCCAGAAGTCCTGCAAACTTGTGAATGTGGATGTGGGGTGTGGATGTCTGGTCTGTATGGTTGTTATGGCTCCCATCTGAACCATCACACACAACGGCTTTCCTGTTTTGTTGACACACAGTGCAGTGCCTCACATAGGCAGAGGCCAGTTATGTTGGTTAGGTGAATGAATGAATGAATGAGCGCCTTCCTGCCACAGGTTAATTCCTTAGAAGGCTCAGGTCATCTGAATTTCATCTTATGATAAAAAGGAAATCAAGCAAGGTAGGGCTGGGCAAGGACTACGTAAGAGCCTGAGGCCGACAGACAAGTCTTCAGTTGCAGAGTTGAAACTGTCACGGGTGGTGATATAAACAGCCGTACCATCTGTATGATGCCTCTATCGGGTGTAGGGGAACGGGCTCTGGAGCCAGACCCCTTGGGCTCCAATTCAGGTTCCGCTCTTACTAGTTGCAAGTTAATTAAATGTTCTGCACCTTATTTGTAAAATGGAAATAATACTAAGACTTCATTACACATCTATGATGAGGATGACATGAGTTGATACAGAAAAAGTGCTTCTAAGAGTCTCCGACCCATGCCAAGCACCCGTAAGTAGCCGCCCTTCTTTATCCCTAGCACATCTTTTTTTTTCTTTTTTGTTTTTGCCGGTGTCCTGTTCTGTTGCCAAGCTGGAGTGGAGTGGCAAGATCTCGGCTCACTGTAGCCTCCAACTCCCTGATTAGAGCAATTCTCCTGCCTCAGTCTCCCAGGTATATGGGATTACAGGCACACACCACTATGCGCAGCTAATTTTTTTGTATTTTTAGTAGAGACAGGGTTTCACCATATTGGCCAGGATGGGATCTCCTTAACTCATGATCCTCCCGCCTTGGCTTTTGAAAGTGCTGGGATTACAGACGTGGGCCACCGCGCCCGGCACCAGCGCATCTTCTTAATCGTTAGTTAGTCTGGCTCCTCTCAGCCCCCATGAGGTGGCTAGCACGGAGAGGCAGGACTGTAGGATATCAAGGCTTCACGTTCCGATGGTCTTGGGTTCGCACTCCTTGCAGTGACAAGCTGTGTGACAGATCAAAACTACCTCTTTATGTCTGGTGTCCTCATAGATACAACCTCAATAATAATACGTCGTTATGGAAACTTTACGAAGGTTATATAAACGGGTGCAAAACGCTCAGCTCGGTTATTTCTCAATAATGATGACTATTTTTATAAACATCCTCACTCTGTTTTTGTTTTTGTTTTTTGAGACAAGGTCTTGCTCTGTTGCCCAGGCTGGAGTGCAGTGGTGTGATCACAGCTCACGGCAGTCTCAACTTCCTGGGCTCAACTGATCTTCCTACCTCAGCCTCTGGAATAGCTAAGACTACAGACGGGCACCACCATGCCTGGCTAAATTTTTTATAGAGATGGCGGTCTCGATTTGTTGCTGGTCTCAGACTCCTGGCCTCAAGAGATCCTCTCACCTGCGCCTTTCAAGGTGCTGAGATTACAGGTGTGAGCCACCGCGCACAGTGAAACAGCCCCATTCTAATGATGAGAAACTAAGAAACAGAAAGGTTAAGCATTACGAACGTAAAGATGGAGAAATCTAGCCAGAGTGTTGTTTCACGCCTGTAGTCCCAGCTACTAGGGAGGCCTCGGTGGGAAGATAGCTTGAGTCCAGGATATCCAGGCAGCAGTGAGCCATGACAGCACCACAAACAAACAAACAAACAAACAAAAGTAATACGTGATTTGCTGATAGCTCTCAAATGCCCAGTGGCTGGCATAACATACTTCAGGCTGCACCATTCTTGCAGAAAAAATGGAAAATTCTGTATCTGTATTTATTTTTAATTTTCTTTTAGAAATGGGGTCTGGCTCTACCACCCCGGCTGGAGTGCAGTAGTGTGATCTCAGCTCACGGCTAACTCCGCCTCCCAGGTTCAAGCAATTCTCCTGCCTCAGCCTCCAGAGTAGCTGGGATTACAGGCTCGAGTCACCACGCCCAGCTAATTTTGGTGTTTTTAGTAGAGACTAGGTTTCACCATGTTGGTCAGGCTGGGTGCAAACTCCTGACGTCAAGTGATTCGCCCGCCTTGGCCTCCCAAAGTGCTGGGATTACAGGCGTGAGCCACTGCGTCCGGCCGTATTACTTCTAATAGTTGTGTATTTTCATGAACACATGTATACTTAAGGGTGAAAGGTGAGGTGGGAAGAGGATGGAAAAATTCCCTATTGGGTGCTATACTTATTACCTGGGTGACGAAATAATCTGTACACCAAAACCCCATGAGACACAATTTACCTATATAACAAACTTGCACATGTACCCCTGAACCTAAAATAAAAGTTAAAAACAAATTTAAAATTTGGTATGTGTTTTTTCAGTTTCTATCTGTGGCAAGAAAATCAGCCTCTCATTTACTATAGCGGCATAAAGATTCCTTTTTTTTTTACTTTTTTTTTTTGTAC